TCTCTGGCCATTTCTCATGTTGGGCAGCTGGTTAAAAAGTGGAGGGCAGGTTGCTGTTCCTGCCCGTAGGAGGTCACCCTCTGTTCAGGAGAGAAGACTTTGATGTAAACTCATTGCAGTAAAGAAATATGGAAAAATGTGAGAATCTTGAGTGCAGAGCAGGTGTGAGTTCTGGTTTCCCAACAATATTACTGGGCTCAGTGTGGTTTTGCTAAACTCTTTACGCATGTTTTCGCATCTAAAAGGAGAGGGATACATGCTGCTCCAGGACTATGTGAGTTAATGAGAGGACCCACATAACGCATGTAGCATACTTCATAGGGTGCCGTAAATGTGTACTAAATAATTGGTCCTCCCACCCCCACTTTCCTGAGGACTCTAACAAATGTGATTGAATTGATACAAGAGGATGATCATTCTCATTGGATTAGTGATTTTTATCTTGTTAAAGTACTTTCGGAAAGCATAAAATTTGTTGACAATATTGGTCTATGACATACATGACTTATTCATTAAGTTTTTCTAAAATTTTGTACACTTGATAATAATACATCCTCCTATTTTGTAGTTGGGAGAACAATTGGCATTAAGTACTGAGACTCTGATTTATGCTAGATATAACCCAAAATGTATAGTGTTACTTAATAACTTAGTATCTATCAGTGCTGTGAAATACACATAGTCACCCTCATGGTATCTGCTGAAAATTGAGACTGAGGAGTAAAAAATAACTTGGGCAGGTTGCTAGCTGCCTTGCGATGATTGTCTCTTAAGCACTTTCTGTGTACTAGGCACTGTGTACAATTATTTTTTGCATGTATTTTTTCACTTAACTCTCTCAATCATCCCATGAGTTAGGCTCATAGTAGTGATAGAGCTGAATTTTAAATCCATACCATTCTTTTTTTTAATAATTAAAAATTGAAGAAAAATTAAGATCGGAAAACATCTATAGACTAATCTGTGTGGCATGATGCAGGATATCCATGATCACAAGTATAATTATAATCCACCAATGAAACCCAGATTTCCTTTGTAAAAAAAGTATCTTCAGTAAATACAAGTCATACCTTTGATGATAACTTGGCATATTCTGTTGGTTTTAGGGTCTCTTTGGTGTCCCTGAGCTCAGTGCCCCAGAAGGATTTCATGTCGCACAACAGGAAGCCTTGAGAAGGGCGGAGGTGCTGGTGGAGCGGGCATGCGCTGCCCCCGCCGGGCCGGAGACCGTGTATGTCTTCGATGAGCTCTCGGACACACTGTGCAGAGTGGCCGACTTGGTAAGATGCTTCATCTGTGCTGCTCCCTCTCTTTCAAGCAGCTGACCTTTTACGCAACATTAGATTTTGTTTAGTACTAAAACTAGACTGTGAAATACGTGAAATAATTGAGAGCTTCTGTGTAGAAGTCGTTGCCTGAGAGTGTGACCCTGGGAGTGGAGAAGAGGAGCTGGTGTGGCAGTGGACACCTGCCCTCCCAGCGCTTTTGGAGCCTGGCCAGGGCAGTGAAGTGACATAAGGGAGACCCTGACTCAGAGAAGAAAAGGGGGGAGTGCCAAGAATGTAGCTCAGTGGGAGGGACTGAGTTCAGTCTCCAGCATTATGGGGTGGGGTGGGGAAGAGTGAGACAGATACAGGAAAAAAGGATATTTAGAAGTGCTTTAATATGTACGTATAATAAAATGGACATGTAGTATGTAACAGAGCAGTTGCTAATATTAAGGTATTTTTGTTTAACAAAGGTTAAAAAAACTTTATTCATGAAACTTCAACAATTCTAACAGACCATTTCATGTGTACATTTGTAATAAAAATCCTCTTTTCCACGAAATGAGTGAAAACTGGTGCTTATAAACCTTTCTAGGAATGTTTTTTTAAAAATATGAAAGGCCGGGAGAGATAGCTTAGCAGCATAAGCACCTGCCTGGTAAACCAGCACAAGGTCCTGAGTTCGATACCAGGTACCAAAAAAACCCCAGACTGGTTGTATTAAA